CCGGAGAAAAACCAAAAAAAAAAAAAAAAAAAAAAAAAAAGGCCATGGGAAAAACTTCCCAATTGCTATTTAATATGCGTATCTATAAAAATACATTCTCATGTACAGCTATATAGACTCATTTTGCTCACTAGTAATACAGGATGCAATTCTTTACCCAGTCTCTGGACATTGTATTTATTTATTTGTTAGTTTGTTTTTTGAGACAAGGACTCCATATGCAAGGACTGGCAAATTTAGTGATATTCAAGACACTGACGTCAGTTTACACCTTTCCCCAGTGTAACAACTCAAAAATTATTCTTAGGAAATATTATCCCCAAACCATCCATCTGCAGAAAGATTCATTACGACTAACAACCATACAGAAAACAGCATGTGTATGATTTGATGTTCATATGAAGCTACTTATGAAATAATTTACTTTTCTGAGTTGCTGTACCCTTACTTTCCCTGTGATGTTAAACTGTCAGGTAATTCCTCACATACACAAGTCAGATGACAAGAATTAAGCTCTCATGCCAGGCATGGTGTGCATGCCTGTGATCCCAGCACTCGGGAGGCTGAGGCAGTGAGCTGAAGGCCAGTCTGAACTACATATCGAGACCTTGTCTCAAAATTTTAAAAAGAATTAAGCTCTAGTGCTCCTTGTCTTCTTTTTTTGTCTTTTTGAGACAGGGTCTCTATATGCAACTCAGGCTGGCCTTGCTACCCCAAGATGGCCTCAAACTTGCTGTGATCCTCCTGCCTCAGCTTCCTGAGTGCTGGGATCACAGGCATGTGCCACCACACCACTTTCCTTGTCCTCTTGTAATGTAATTTGAACATTTACTTCCACAATGTACATGTGCCTTTCCTAATAGTTTTTCTGAGGCTCCCCTTTTCCATCATTAAACTGAAGCTGGGGTGATGGCACACACTTGTAATCACAGCATTTAGGAGGCTGAGTCAGGAGGATCATGAGTTTGAGGACAGCCTGAGCTATGCAGCAAATTCAAGGTCTTCCTGTGTTGAAGTTATCTACAGCAGTCTTGATTTTACAGCAAAAGAACCTAGAACATTACAGATGTATTTGAATGAAACTGTGGTGATGCGTTTGGTGCAGTAGGTAACAAGACAGCAGGCTATGTGAAATTTCAGCCCTTTTAAAACTATAATCTACAGATTATCAGCAGAATGCCAGAGGAACTCTCAAATCTGAAAAATAATCTTTTTTTTTTTCTTTTTTGGTTTTAGTTCTTGAGACAGGGTCTCATTATATAGTTCAGACAAGCCTCAAACTCACTGTAATCCTGAGTGCTGCCTCAGCCTTCTGAGTGCTGGAAATCGTCTTTTGAAGAAACAAGGAATATTGGTTTTCTATGGCCACTATAACAAACTTCTACAAATGTGGTGTCTTAACATGACAGGGTTTCCTTTTATAATTATGGAGGTCAGAAGTCTGAAGTCACCTTC